TCCATGACGTGGGTGGCACATGGAACCTGTTGAATGTGGGGCCACATCTTAATCAGCTTCCGGCACGCTGACGCGTAGTTGGAACCCCCGTCCATACAGAACGCGACGACGTTCTCGGGTCCGACTTCCTCCACGACGGGTTTCAGTATCCCCGCGATGTACCCCCCTGTTTTCTTCTCCATGTTGCAGTCCACACACTCCTTCAGGACAGCGCCCGCGTCGTTGAGGAGGAGGACATTCGCCTGCGGCCTGCCACACTTGTCTGTCATCATGTCGGACGCGATGGTAACACCTGTCTTCTTCCAGCTGGCCTTGATCCCCATCAAGCCGTTCTCAATACCCTTGCGGCAAGCGAGCAGTCCGGCACCTCCGATGTACTTGCGACGTGGCGGAAGGTAGCCCTTCCCGACGCGGGCGACCAGGTGCATAGAGTTGACGAAGAGCGGATGTTCGACCAGGTTCTCCGGGAGGCGACATGCGGCAATCATGAGCGCAAGACCTTCATGTGCTTCACTTTTTGCCGCAGCAGCGTCGCCCTCGAGGTAGTCGGTCATGCGGGCCCGTTTGCCACCGGCTTTGACCGACGCTATAGCAGCCAACACCGCTCGCTGTTTCTCTTCTTTCGCAGCAGCCTGCGCCTCGTACTTCTTGCGAATTTTGAGGCGAACATCCGCAGGTGCCTTCCCGCAAAGCGCCACCTCGCGGCGCTTCATCTTCTTCCATGAGCTAAGGTGCTGAGCGCATCGGATGGCGGCACGTGAAAAGACCTTGAAGCAGTACTTGCACTCGTACTGCTGTGCCTTGCCCTCTTCGCGCTTGATGATACTGAAGTGCTTGAAGACGTCGTGGACTACATCGGGAAGGTACTCCCTGGTCCCTTCTGGACGAGGGATAGAACTCTCCACAGACTGATCGGAATGCGGCGTGAGAGGCGGACTGCTGGATGACATCGCACTGAGGCTAGTTGTTGGTAGCGGGAGAGGATTACTGAATGGGATGGACGTTCTGACGAGTTGATAAATAGCATGACGAGTGGCGGGGGATTGGGTCGGAAGGGTTGGACTGAATGAATGTTGTGGGTTTGAATGCGGTAACGTGTTGGGATAGAAATGTTCAAACATGCACATGCGACTCGATGTACGTGACCATCAATATGTCAACGTGCAACATGTGAAAGTGAAATCGCGACACCAGGACATGAATCCAATTTCCCGCAACCCTAGATCTCGGACGTGCAATCTGACGTCGCAGAATCACTTGCCGTGCCATTCCGCATCTTTTGGTGTGTTTGAAAATTTTTGGGTCGGGCGGGCTGCCCCAAAAAAAATTTGGGTTGCGTATAGCGTATTCGCTAGCGTTTCGCGTATTGCGTATACACGCTAGCGTTCAAACGCTGAACGCTAAGGCCCCTAAGCGTATATTCCAACTTAGTTGTAGAGGAGGGCGGCATGGTAGAGGGCGTACCCCCAGAGAGAGAGTGGAGCGTTGGAGTGGGTGAGGAGGCACCTAGTGATCTGCACCAGGGTGTGGTTGCGGCTCTCTGCTATGCCGTTCTGCTGCGGGCTGTCAGGAAGGGTGAAGTTTTGCTGGATGCTTTCTCAGGAGCAGAAGGCTTTGAGCTTGTCGTTGCAAAATTCACCACCCCCATCCGAGTGAAGGCGATTGATCTTGCAGTCAAAGGTGGTCTGTGCCTGTTTGACCCACGCCATGATGACCTCTGGAGCCTCAGCCTTAGTGTGGATGAGGTGAATAGAGACGTAGCGGGAGTGGTCATCATCGATAGCAAGGAAGTAGCGATGGTCACCTCGTGCGGGAACCGGGGCAGGGCCCCAGACGTCCATATGCACTAGCTCCAGTGGTGCTGCTGCGACTGTGGGTGAGGCAGGATGGGGCTGTTGGCGCAGTTTGCTCTTGATGCAGTCAAGGCACATGGGAGCGGGTGATTCAGGTGGTGGAGGAAGTGAGGCTGGCAGGCCGAGAAGAAGTTTCTTGGAAGCCATGTCAGCAAGCATGCGTAAGTTTGGGTGCCCGAGCCGATGGTGGTAGAGGATGGTCGGGTTGGAGAAGCTGCGACATGAGCATGGTGTGATAGTAGCTTGTGCTTGGGTGGTTGACACCTGTGGGATAGGTATGCGCAGCGTGTAGAGGCCGCTGATTTTGAGGGTGAAGCGAGCCAGGACCTTGTTGGTGAGTGGATATATGATGTCACAATAGTCCTTGTTCTCCGTTAACCCTGCTTCCTGAATTTCCGTTTGAGCCACTAAATTGTGGCATAGTGAAGGCACGCACATGCCAGTGACAGTGCCGGATGGGAAGGCGGGGCACGGGACTGTGGATGTACCCTCGGCAAGAATTGTGAAGCTTGAATCAGCTCCGAGGAGAAAGATGGGTGTTGCGTAGGTTTGAAGGACAGTGTCTCCTTGAGCACAGTGTGAGTGGTCCCACTGTCGAGTGTGAATTCTATGTATTGTGGTGCTTTTGACGAGCCGATGTATTGGGAGGTTGCTTCATTGATCATGGCAGTGCCAGGGAACAACAGGTTGATACGCACATCAGCAAGAGCACTATCACTAGCACTAGCCGAAGCGAAGTCCTGGACCTCAACGAGGTTGGCCTTACGAGGACGCATCCAGTTTGGTGGTTTCTTGTCTACTCCGTGGATGGCATAACATTCGTCGTCTTTCTTCTCGAAGCACATAGCAAAGGGGTGGTTAGTGCCACCACACACTTGTCCCTTGCGGTTGCCATAATTGACGACGTAGCTGTACAGAGGGAAGCGGTTGTGCTGGAAGGGTGCCAAGGCAACACTTGCTTGAGGCACAGAAGCACGGATGGCGTAAGCCTTGGCTTGAGCCGTGGAGTCTTTCTTGGCAGAGAGGAGTGCGGTGGAGACCTTAGCAAAAGTGAGGTATTCCGCTGAGAGCGTGAAGAGCATCTTCCTCGTGACTTCATATGCCGAAGTGAGACCAACAAGAAGGGCGGCTGCAGGGGCTTGTTCAGGGAAGACTATACCCAGCTCCTCGAGTTCGCCATGAATGGTCTGCACCTTGGCAATGTAGTCGGCCATTCCCGAGCACTCCTCAAGGCGGACCTGAAACATGTCTGGGGATGAGAATGGCAACTCCGACCGCCGTCTTGTTCATGAATCGATCCTTGAGATATACTTCCAGATGGTGTTGGAGGTAGGGTAGTTGTGGAACGTGTTGACAAGTTCGGGAGGGGTGGAGGCGATGAAGACGCTGATGATAGCTGCATCGGCCTTCTCCCATTTTCCGGTACTTCTCAACAGCTTCCTCGTACGCCGTCGTGTCAGCATCACTAGCAGATTCGATCAGCTCACGGGGGAGAAGGGGTTGTTTTCCCTAGCCACGGTTGAGGAGGACGTCCTTGAGGTCCAATCTCTGCACGTCACCACTAAGGAGGTGCTTGTCAACCCCGTAGCTCCATGCGTTGAAGTTGGAGCTAGAGCCATCGGCTTCAAGGCGGAGTGGGGTGATGGGGTTGGCAATGGTGGTGAGGGCCCCTTAATGTCTCGCGCGGAGCGCCGCTCTTAAGTCACCGATTGGAACTTTGACGGTTCCGGAGAGCAAAAATCGTCAATGTCGGCCGCGTCGGGATGTCTCGTAGAAGGGTTTTGAAGGCCGCCAAAATTAGGTTAAATCGGCCGATTTCTGTGCAACTAACTCTATTCCCACAGACCCCCCCACACACCACCCCCAGCTTCGCGGCTACATGGCTGCTCGGCTTCGCGGCTACACGGCTGCTCGGCTTCGCGGCTACACGGCTGCTCGGCTTTGCGGCTACTCTGCTGATCGGCTGCGCTGGCACCTGTTCAGCTGCGGGAAGGGGAGGGGAAAGGGGGTAGAAGTGCTGGTGCGGGGCGAGGGGCGGCAGCTCAAAGGTGACGCAGCGGGGCGACGGGCGGCGGCCCGACGAGAAGTTGCGGGGCGACGGGCGGCGGCCCGACGAGAAGTTGCGGAGCGACGGGCGGCGGCCCGACAAGAAGCTGCGGTGCGACGGGCGGCGGCCCGACGAGAAGAACTTGTGCGAAGATGTTCGACGAGAAATAAAGAACACACGAATGGTTAAAGCGCCAGCGATGCGCTTACCGCAGGGGGTGTAGAGGTCGTCGAGAATGAAGGGGGAAAGTGACGCGGGAGAATTTTCGGCCACGAATGTCGCGAATCACCGGCGACGGGATTGAGGACGTCTACGACGGCGTTTGCGGGATGAGCATCCGCCGAAAGAATATGATCACGATTCGCATGTGCGGTTGAAGTGCTCTGATACCATTTCACAACTTAGGCGTAGAACTGATACATTAGTAATGAGCTTGAAGCTCTTTAAGTACATCCAAGATGGGGAAGGGAATCGTGGGCAATCCCTAGGGAATGAGGGTAATCCCAAGGCCATCTCCAATTCGTGGGTTGAAGATTGCTTGGAGATTGCTTGGAGATTACATTTGGGTTTGGTTGGGATGTAGGTGTATTCCCAACCAAACACAAAGTGCAAACTACACTACTCTAGGAAATAGAAAATATAAAGTACAAAGTGTGAGATCGAGGGCTAACACTAACACTCTAGCCTACCCCTTAGGTGCTCTCGCCTACCCCTCAGGTGCTCTCGCCTACCCCTTGGGTGCTCTCGCCTACCCCTCGGGTGCTCTCGCCTACCCCTCGGGTGCTCTCGCCTACCCCTCAGGTGCTCTCGCCTACCCCTCAGGTGCTCTCGCCTACCCCTCAGGTGCTCTCGCCTACCCCTCAGGTGCTCTCGCCTACCCCTCAGGTGCTCTCGCCTACCCCTCGGGTGCTCTCGCCTACCCCTCGGGTGCTCTCGCCTACCCCTCGGGTGCTCTCGCCTACCCCTCAGGTGCTCTCGCCTACCCCTCAGGTGCTCTCGCCTACCCCTCGGGTGCTCCGACTATCGTTGCCAACCGTCTTGTTGCTTATCATTGTCTTTCACGGGCTCTCGTGTGCCCTCCTTGCTGCGCCCATGTGCAGCTGTGCAGGTGGTGCAGCACCTGCGATTGCTGGGCGAGACAGACTGCACTCTGCACCACTCCCAGGTGCGAGCACAGGCAGGTGCGAGCACAGGCAGGTGAGATCACACCATGGTTCCGCGCTCCTGTGCACCTTGTTTGTTCTCTGCCACTCATATCCGGTGTAATGGGCTTTGGTGGCTGCAGTGGTGCTCTTGCCACAGCTGTGAGGACGTCTCTCTAAATGCTACCAACTGTGAGTGTGTGGACGAGACAACGAACATGAAAAGGATAACAATAGTTGCAATACGATTCAAATTTCATTGCCTGCGTGCACGCTCACACTTCATTGCCTGCTTCATCCTCTCACTTGGCTTCCCTTGCCCACCCCTCCACTCCATTCTCACCTTTCCCTACGTTTCGTGCCCCTTGCAACCTCCTTCAACTCCTCCCTCCCTCTTCAGCATCTCCTCCCATCTGTCACTCACTCGCCTTTCGCACTCACTGGTCCCCCTTCCTGCGAACTCCTCTCGCTTCCCACATACTACTCCCCCTTCCTCATTCACTCCACTCATTCTCTCACTCTCCACTCATTGCCCCCCACCCGTCCGCTCAGCCGTTGCCCCGTGACACGGCGCTGGCAGCAGCAGCCATCTACGCGCACATGTTCCCCGCCTGCCCTCCCTCCGCACACGCTCATTCACCACCAGACCTTGCTCCTGGTGTAGAGGCGAGGGGGGACGAACAACAAGGGAGGGATGAAGATGGGGTTGTTGCAACATTTCAGGTTCTCTGGTTCCTCACGCCTTGTCATTTCATCAGCCATGCCACAACAACTCAACCCTTTGGCTTCGTTTTCAATGCAGCTGTTCATTCAGAATTCTCAACATGCCCATCTCTCCCCTCCCACATGCACTCTCCCCCAACCCCACTCTCCTTTCAGAGCTTACCTGCCTTCCTGCGAGGTGATTCTTCAATGCTCAAGTATCCAACCTCCACCCCCCCACCCCCTCCCCCCCACACTACGTGCAGGTCATCTTCATGGCGGGCTGGGCGCCGCACGAGTCGCAGCAGAGGGCTCGCCCTCGTGGATCCGCGGCCGTGTCTCTGCACGCCCTGCACCACTCCCTGCCGGCCTACCCGTGACACCGCATCACCCGCTACTGCCCTCCCACCACACCGCACCACCGCACTTCTCATGCAGCGAACTTGCCATACTGTACGAAGCATAATGATTGTTGACAGCAGAAGCAGTGTAAACCAACATTCTATTACCGTACGCATGTTCAGAGGATTAACCAACCAAAAAGGTTTGTTTTTCAACAACCTTGCTTCCCCATATTCAAAAGTCAGCAACAGGTTGTCTCGGTTCCAGGTCTCCATAAGTCAGCATTTTAACGCTAAGTTGGACAGGAAAAACTGTAATTCTCATACAATACATTTTTCATATGTACACTAATCAATCAGCTTTTAACAACAATGTACGGTGCTGTCCCCCCTTGGAGGACATTTTGTCTGTCAGAATCAAGCGAGCAAGAATGAATGAACTATGATCAAGTGTACTAACCTTAATGGGTTATACCACCCTTGTAGGCTATCCCAATAAAGCTAAGAGATAACACACAAACATACAGTTTTGACACATCCCCATCGGCTAAGTGGGGGATAGCAAACACAACAGACGGTCACAAGATCTGTCAATCAAAGGAACAAAGCAAAGCAAAGCTCAAGGTGGATCCACCCACACAGCAAAGAACAAGGCTTGGAGCAGTGCCAAAAACGTTGATGGTCCTTCAACACAAGTGCATTGGTGAAAATATTAGCAGTTTTGGCCCGTGAGGCCACGTAGGTAGGGCGGAGCTGACCACGCTGCTGTAACTATCGAGCGAGGAAATAACGAAGAGCAATGTGCTTCGTTATGTGCTCCAGTCTTTGCTCCCGACACAAGGCAATACCGTATTACCCCGGACATAACACCCGCCGAAATAGAGCACCCCCCGGGTGGCTTGTGCGGGGGGGGTGCTATAGCGGGCCTCATTTCTACTATACCCCCCTTTTGGGGCGATCTGATATAGCACCCGGGGGGGTGGGTGTTATGTACGGGTAATATTGCAGTTTTTGCAAATATATACTGTGGTTGACGGCGAACGTGCACTGTACTTTGGGTGGCACATTGTGGGCGATATTCGTGGCTGTGTGGTGCCAAGTCACACTGACGTGTACTTTCGCATACACTTGTCCAGATTTTATGGCAGGCGAACTTCAGAAGAACCGTGATCTGACCCAACAGTTTGTGTGACTTCAGTACAGTAAAATCACGACTGCCAGCTTGGTTGTGTGTTCTGTTTGATTTCGACCGGCCAGGGAAGTGAGGCGTGGGAGGGAAATGGGAGAAATTTGCGTGATTGGCTGCAACACTGATTTCTTGCTCTGAACCCTGACAACTCTGAGTAAGTCGTTGTTGGACACTGACCAATCAGAGTAGCAAACCTACGAAATATGTGCCCTCATAATCCAGGGAGAATTGTTTTCCCGAAATCAGGGGGGCCCGAAATGAAACGTCAGCCCTGGGGGGTGTGTCTTCTTTCCAATCAGGGCCTGACTGTGGGCCTTGTTGGAGCTTGCAATGTGGCAGCTAACCCACGAGACTAACGTTATCGCCCAGTCCTCGGTTTTGCGCACCCAACCAACAATCTACCACCGCATCAAACATGTACATTTTGCTCTCAACCTTTTGTGCTCTAAAAAAAATATACATTATGTAACGACCCGGGTGCAATGTAGCTTTTTCCGATGACAAGACCCCCCCCCCCCCCCCCCCCCTTTTTTTGTGTAGTTATCATAGCACCCTAGGGTGGTATGTCCGGGGTAATACGGTAGTGGCTTTCTTGTCAACGTACAGAACCGGAGGAGAACGAGGCCACACACCCAAGTCTGTCAGCAGGTAGGTCAGCCAGTGTAACTCTTGAGGAGTCATGACTCCAGAGTAGATCTCGGCCTCACAATTGGACCTCAGTACTGAAGACGAGCGGGTCAACCTCCAGGAGACAGAGCCAGTGTCGAGACTGGAAGTGTAACCCTTTGAAGAACGCTGAGTCGTCGACCCAAAAAGCGTCTGAGTGTCCAGCGAGTACAACTGAGCCCCGAACTCCAAGCACAAGCCCCATGCCTGATGTATTGTACAAGTAACGCATCACCCCTCTTAGCGGCCCGCCAGTGCTGTGGTCCATGTCTCCTAGGCGCAATGTAGCGTGCCAGGATGCTAAGAGGGTACGCGAGGTCAGGTCGAGGGCAAGTCACCAGGTATACGAGGCAGAACACAAGCTCTAAATACTTACCACTCGGCTATGCGGACTCGTCCGAAGGTGGAGCTGTGCGCGAGTGGCCAGTAGGCAGAGGAGTGGCCTGTGGTGAGGAGAACTGGGAGCTGAAGCGCTGAAGAACCTGGTGCACCATGTGTGACCGAGTCAGAGTGATGATGCGCCGTGCTTTGTCCCGGGTGATCTGCAAGCCAACATAGCTGCGCAGCTCATCAAGACCAGTGCAAGTGTGTCTCTTCTGCAGCTCTGCGTTCACAAGGGCCAATGCCTCAGTGCCAGCAGTAGCTACGACCAAGTCGTCAACGTATATGAGGATGTAGAACGGCGGCAGAGAAGGGCCGGTGCACAGATTCAGCGACGGGTCAGCAGTCGAAGGAGCAAACCAAAGAGCCGCAAGTGTAGTCCTCAGTTTGTCGTGCCACTCGCAGGGCGCCTGACGGAGACCATAGACTGGTGGCCAAAGGCTCCACTTGGTACCATCAGGAAACGACCCAGTGAAGCCAGGTGGGCAGCGTAGCTGGATCTCCTCGTGAAGGTTGCCTCGCAAGAAAGCTGTGCGGAAGTCAAGCGAGTGGAGCTCGTAGTCACGCTGCGCTGCAACGTGCAGTAACACCCGAAGAGTGGTCATCTTCGGGTGGGGGAGAATGTGTAGAAGATGTCGACCCCCCCCCCCCCCCCCCCCCGCGCTCACTTACGTCTCGTGCAACGTAACATGCTTTGAAGGCAGGCGGAGAACCCGACGGCCGCTTCACTCTGAAAATCCACATGTCATCGACTATGTTCGCCCCACGAGGGGGAACTGCGTCGACGTAAGTGCCTGTGGACTTCCAGAAAGCCATCTCTTCATCTTTAGCTATCTGCCACTTAGAGGAGTACTCACCCGTGATCGCCCCAGCGTAAGAGCGGGGGGTCGGGATGTCTAGTGCATCCGGGTCTCCCTCACGACAAAGCAGCATGGAAGCAAAATGAGGTACAGCAGCCATGAGGCATTCAAGCTCAAACTCACTCAAAAACGTCACTGCCAAAGGCAAGCTCACCCCTTGAATATTCAGACTCAGACTCAGTAACAAGACGCGCGAAGTAGTCTAAGCGACAGATAGCAGCAAAGTCACGAGCTCAGTGACTAAGGCAGGTGCAACAGTAGACTCAATGGAAGGGTTAGTAACAAGGGTGGCCTGGAAGTGCGTGACACGGACTAGCAGCACGAGCAAGGTCAGACTCATGGTCAGGAACGTCAGGAAGAGAGGACGGTGGAGGAGACGACAGGGCAACACGCAGTGGAACAGAGGAGGGACGAAGTGCCATAGTGTGTGCCGGGGACCGGTGGAAGACGAACACGACGAGCAAGACTAACAGTGCGAAGGCGAGGCAGGACGAGACGCAGGCTCACGACGCTCTGACAGGGAGTCTATCTGCGCAGAGTAAGGAGAAGGAGCAGACAGAGGGGAGTGAGGCAGTAACGGCGCCTATGACTGGTCAGGCAAAGGACAAGTAGAGGTGGAGTAAGGCCAGTGGAAGACGGTAGACTAAGAACCTGGCGAAACGCCGATTCAGGTGGTTGCAGTGACGACTGCGGCTGTGGGAAGAAAAATGGTCGCCGGTGCAGAGTACCCACAGTACCAGAGCCTCCAGCTCCAGTACCTCCAGCACGAGAACCTCCAGCAGCTCCAACACCTCCAGCACCTCCAGCTCCAATACCTCCAGTACCTCCAGCTCCAGCACCTCCAATACTTGCAGCTCCAGTACCTACAGCTCCAGAACCTCCAGCACCAGCACCTTTAGTACCTCTAGCACCTCCAGCTCCAGTGCCTCCAATACCTCCAGCTCTGGCACCTCAAGTACCTCCAGCACCTCTAGCTCACCACTCTCAGCAGCACCGGAGTCCACAACGACGAACTGCAGAGGCGGGAAGCGGAAAACATGGAGAGGTCTCCAAGCGCGGTGAGCGGCAAGTGGCCCAGTCACCCCCCTCAGCTGGGCCAGAGGTGCTAGAGGAGATCTCCAAAGGCTCAACCAAGGGAGGTGGGTCGAGCAGAGACACATCTGAGGGAGCAGGACCCTTTGGGGGAAGAGAGTCTACCAGGGGGGGGGGGGACCTGAGACCAGGAAGAGATGCGAGGGAGGGGACGGGGGAATTGATGTGGAGGTGGAGGCGGTAGCAGCAAACCGACTCGTCAAAGGTGACGTCCTAAGAGGACAGGACACTGCGCGTGGCAGGGTGGTAAAACTGCCAGGGCGGGGCGTCGGTGGGGAAGCTAAGGAGGACGCAGCGGAGAGTGCGAGGAGAGAGCTTGCCCGCGGTAGGATCGCGGACAAGGGCAAGCGGGCCACAGACCCGAAACTCCAACGCGTCGCCAACCTCCCCCGTCCAGCGCAGTGTAGGCGAGGTCTCTGGCATAGAGACATGGGGCTTGAGGTTGAGCTGATGCTTGGCGTATTGGACCGCAAACGACTACAGAAGATGGGGAGCAACCGCATGGCTCATGGAGGTGCGAGCAGCCTCCATGATCAAGCCAATGTGATGCTCAGCAATCCCAGTTTGCTTTGGAGAGGCCGGAAGCGTGAACGGCGATGCCCTCCTCACGACAAAACTCACTGCCTCTGCCAAAGTGTAGTCGCAGGACTTGAAGGTCTTGCTGAAACCGTGCGCTCAGCTGGCGACGAATAGTGCCGATCCAGGAGATCAAAACATGGCGGACATCCACCTTGCCGTCCTAGCTCACTTGCCGGTCGACCAGAGAGACCACTTTTGTCAGGTGACGTTGGCCCGAGCTTTGTACGACGCTGTGGTTAGACACTACTGTGCGACATCGTCTCCATCAAAAC